AAATGATACACTTGGTTTGGACTTCGTACAACCCTGTTCGCTAATGTTTTACTTCCTGTACTCGGCTTATACTTGTAACCATCACCGCTCATCACCTCGCAGTCTTATCGTTACTACTTGCTCTTTAATGTTAGTTGTCTTGTAATAGCAACTTGTAATTATACTGTCATCATCGTTCCTACCTATAATCCCTGTTGCATCCTACATCATCTGCAATGTATATCATCTATGTTCTTCATATGTCCCTGTCGGTTTATACTCTCTTCTTAATGTAAATATTCAATTCAATGTATCTACTTAATCGCGCCAATCTTGTACACGGTATCATTTATTGTATGTTATTCCAGCTGTTTTCATTTTTTGTAACTTTGTCTATTTCAATCTTTGCGATGCAGGCGTCATGAGCCCTCTTCTTCATTCTACCCCATCCTCATCCCCTACCCTTCATCACTCTCCCTCTTCCTTCCGAACTTTTCCAACCTCCAGGTTATACCTTTGAGTGATACCTGGAGGACTCCCCTCTTCTTTTAATAATAATAATAATATTAATAATTGGGTCAGGAGGCACACAAAATTGGCCTCAGGATAAACACCGTAAAGTCAAAAATTATGCATGTATGTAACACTGCCTAAACACAGGGAGTAATTGTCAGAGCACAACAATTGGATGAGGTGGAGAAATTTACCTACTTGGGTAGTATTATTTCTCAAAATGGTGACATGGAAATGGATGTGAAATGCCACATCGGTAGAGTGGCAACAGTCTTCTGGCAGATGAAGAAGATCTGGTCCTCACCATCTATCTCATTGAGAATCAAATTCCGCCTGTTCACCTCCATCGTGATTCCGATAGATGTTTATGCTAGTGAGTCCTGGAAGACATCGAGAAACATCAATAAAAAGCTTGATGTCTTCCAACAGAAATGCCTATGATGAATCCTAAAGATCCAATATTTAAATCATATCACCAATGAAGAGGTTCTCCAATAAAGTGGGATGTGCAAACTTCATAGCATTGTTGCCCGTAGAAGAGTCTGACTGGCAGGCGACATTTTTCATCTGGAGAACAATAGGATTCCTAAGACAGCCATGAAATGGGTTCCCTTGGTGCCAAATGACCACAAGGATGCTCCAGAAATACTTGGCATAAAACTTTTCTTCAAAATTTAAAGATGCTCATTATGACTTGGGAGAAAGCTGAAGCCCTCGCCCATGATTAAAATTGATGGAAGATAATTGCTGCCTAGTATGCTACTTAGCATTGGAGGAACTACTACTACTACTACTACTGCTACAAAGTTTCCATATTTGATCATCTCCAAAGATCTTATGGCAGAATATACGATAATGGAATATTTTAATCATTTATATATAAGTTGAAACCTTGACAAAAGTTGATCATTGATGGAAATTGATGCAGCTTATCACTGCATCAATCTCCTTATCTTATTACTAAGGGTGCACCGATTAATCGGTAAGTAATCGGTAATCGGCCGTATCGGCCACTTAGCTGATTAATCCGGTATCGGCCATTTCCCCGATTAATCGGTTTCGATAATCGGCCAATTTTACATTTTGGTATTTTTGTTAAAATGTTACGTACAATGTTAGTAATAAAAACTAATAAATTTCTGTTATATATTTATTATTTATTACATGACAAACTGAATATTAAAAAAAATTTACTAATCAAATTATTCCTTTTATCGATTCATATTATAAGTATAATATAACGTATAATATAAAGTTTAAACTTTACATAAGAAAAAGTATTGAATAGGTTAAGAAGAAAAATTAAATTTTTATTTGTTTCATAAGTTTAAAGTTTAAATACAAAACAAATATAAAACAAATAAAAATTTAATATTTAAACTGTAAAACCCTTAAATTACAAT